TTTTAATTGAAGTTATTAGGGTAACCTTGATTTAAAAAAATTCTATTGGTTTCAGAGGTACAATTCTATAATATATCATCTGTATATTGTATTGTGTGTTCACCACCCCAAGCCAAGTCTCCTTCCATCACCATTTATCTCCCTTTTTACCCTCTCCTTCCACTTCTCACCCACCTTTCTCTCTAGTAATCATCATACTGTTGTTTGTCTATGAGGTTTGTGTGTGTGTGAGTATGTTTTGGTTTTAACAAATAATCAAGTCAGTGAATGTGAACAGATTGTTAATGAATTCTCTGTTAAAGAGTACACAAACTCCTGTCCTTTGATTTTTTTTTCCAGTTGCCACTAGGTTGTTGCTATAAATAAGGATATATTTTTGCTAAGAACTCATCTCAATATTTAAAGTAAAAAAACTAAAACTGTGTTCTTCACATTAATGAAAAAAAGTAGATGCAAAAGCTTCAGGGATAAAATAAATGAAAGGAAGAAAAAGTTTCATGTTGGCACAATGGTTAAAAATGTGAATTGTTTTGAAATCCTCAGGATAAGCAATAATATAAAAATAGGCTGCTAATTAATAAGGAGGGACTAGAAATTAATGAGGCCAAAATGGCTGAGTTACTGAAACTATTTATACAACTCATTTTTAATAAGAAAAATGAGAGAAATTGTAAGAATACTGATGACTTTGCAAAAATTGCTATTGACAAAACACAGGGAGAGGAATACTTAAATATTTGACCATACCCAAATCAGCAAATTTGTATGACCTGTTTCCAAGAGTACAGAGCCAGTTAATTGCATTATATTACATCTCTTTCTCCAAATCTCTGAATTGACGATAATTAAGATGTAAAAATCATGTCCAAACATCTCTCTATATAGATATGTCTTTGAGTTACATTTTCTCAATCATGTTAGGGTCTACTTTTTCTTTTGATGTAATAGGATCTTTTTGAGACCCCAAAATAACAAATCAGATATGACTATATTTTCCGGTGTTGTGAAAATGGTAATACATGAAATAAAAGGGAAAATTCTTTCAACTTAAAAGAATTGGATGCTGATGAGAAAGAGACAAAAGTCTAAGGTTGAGGGAATTGAATGTTTTTTGTTTTTATGCTTTTTTCTCTCTCTATTGGAATAGCAAGGAAATATTTTCTAGATGATGATATTTAATCTGACACTTAAAAAATGAGAAAGACCCAACTATATGACATCGTGAAATAAGATCATCCCAGAAGAAGAAAATGGTGTATCTAAACCTTAGGGGTGAAACATATTTAAGAAAAGAAAGAAGGTCTCCTTGGCAGGATTTTAATGCCTTGGTTGATAGTAATCCTATATAATAAAGGCCTAATATGCAAATTGTTTGACCAGGAGTTCAACTACTCCCTATGAATGCACTGACCACCAGGGGATGGCGCGGAACATGGCGGGCGTCGATGACTCAGTGCTGGCAGCAGGCGGCAGTGGAGGCACTGCTGGCCCCTATGGACCCCAAAGAGAGCGGGACTCTGGCAGGATGGTGGAGCAGGTAAGCGGGAAGCTCCAGGCTAAGGTGAGTGCAAGCGGGGGCCCAATCGCCCTGATAATCATCCGGCAGATGGCGACTGGAGGTGGCAGCAAGGGGCGGGGCCACTGCCCAGCTCCCAGGCACTGAGGGAGCCAGGCGGGCGGCCCTGCTATGATGGATCATCCCGCAGGCAGGATGGTGGAGCAGGTGAGGGGGCACCACCAGACCACAGCGTGGTGCCAGGAGGGGCTGCGGGACTGTGAGGCTGGGGGCCGAACTGGAGCCGGATCCCCTCAGGTCACCTTGAGGGACCCCACCCATGCATGAATTTGTGTACTGGGCCTCTCTCTAGTAGGAAATAAAGGAGATAACTGAGATTAGATTATGGATGATCATGATATGAAGTTTGATTAGAAAACATGAAGTTAAATATTCATTTAAATATATAATCATCCTTAAAATTCAAGTTCGGTTTCCATTGAAAGAAAACCCAGGGACTAAATAAGTTATAATAACATGACAGAATGAGTTTTATAAATTAAACAAATGTTAGAAATAGATTAATTTATAGGATAAAGCTAGAAAAAAGCAGCATATATGAATAACCTAAATCCCTAACTGGTAAAATAAACAGAGAAGCAGTGAAAAATTGGATGGGTTCTGCAACAGTAACTATTGCCACAAATTCTAATGCACACATTTCCTTTTGTATATTTCATGATTAATCTATGATTAATAGAAATGTTTGTTTATATTTTGTAGAAAACTTAACGATTTTAAGAAAAGATGGCATCCTCTGTTTATCTTATTGTTGTAGTAAATATTTTGAAAAAATATAAACATGGAGTAGAATGCTATCCAGCAATCAGAACTAGTATATCTTATTTTATTCCAAATGGAAAATACAAATATTTCAGTAGCTCCTACTTGGAGATAATGCTTATTATTCCACTATTTACTTTTAGTGTAAAGCAGGTTAGGTCAGATCTGGTTAAGAAAAGTTCAAACTTTGCTCCAAAAACATTTTTTTACAGAAATGGTCACTTTGCAACTTTTACAGGTCTATAATACACATGGTTGTGAGAATATTTAAAGTTATGCAGAATATTTTCACATTGGTCTTTATAACCTTCACTTCTTTTGACTCATTTATATAACAAACACCATTAATGGTATTTGGGGAATGGAAGACATAATGAAAAATATCTGAACAAGGAATCAATAGCCTGAGTTCTGGTACTAATATATCTCTCTTTTGGTTGAGCATGAGAAAGGCATGGAGCATCAAAGCTTCATGGGTAAAACACAAAAAAATAATTTTGTCAAGACACACAGCAGTGACCTAGTAATAAAGAGTGAGTTTTGTTTTATTCTAAAGTATTAACTCTGCTTCCTGTTGACTCTAAGATCTACATGGTTAGTTTGCCCCCACAAACTATGCTGTCTTCATCAGGAAATGAAGACTAGGGATATATCCTGCACATATCTCATATAATGTGTGAAAAAATAAATTGTAACCATAAAATGTATATATCCAGAGAGAAGAGGTCATTATTTTCATTAAAAATAAATGTGTTTTCGAGAGTTTAGTATTCCTCACATGTTGAAGATTCTTTTAAATAAGGGGACAGATATAACCCAGGGCAAATGCCTCCATACCCAAACCAACAAAACTAGTGGATTATCACATATACATTCCAATACACTGATTATTTTCCATCCTTTACTTCTATGGCAGTTACCAACTGCCTCTCAACTCCAAATCCACCCTTCTTTACCCTGCTTTATCATACTGAATCCTTTAATAAATCATTTTCCTTTGCTGGCTGCCACACAGCTAGGTTCTGGCAGTAGAGGGCAGTAGAGGGTCACCTCAAAATGAAGGGGCTTCTCTTCTTGTTCCAGTGCTTTGCTGCCTTCTCCTATGATGTGAAACTCATCTGGTGGCTTCCCAGTCAATCTCACTGGCAGTCCTGTGGGTGCTTCCCAGCGAGTTTCACCACCACACCATTTGGGGTTTCTCACATAGTAACCTGACCTGCAGCACTGGGCAAAACTTCCCACCATCCAGAGCACCAGGGCCCCACCCTCTCCCATGTGGGGTGAGTCAGTGTGTGTGTGTGTGTGTGTGTGTGTGTGTGTGTGTGTGTGTGAAGCCAATGTCATTTGCTTGCTTCTTTCTTTAATATTCTCCCTTAACCCTAGAAGCAGTGTCTGTTTCTTCTGCTATTCCTAAGTTCTACAGAGTTCTCTCTTGCCTCTTAATAGTTAATTCTCTATTACTAGTTAATAGTATTTTTTTAAATATTAAATGTGTTTTTCTTCAAGTAATGTGTGTTTCTGACTTGAATGGATGCTGCTTGATATACCTTTTTATATCAAGATGAAATATATCAAGTGTAATTTAAATTTGGCATTCGGGACTAGGTAACTCTAAAGCACATAAATTTTTACAGTTCTGTGATTATAGTTCTTAAAGCTGTACACAGCTTCAAATTTAATTTCACTGTATAAAATTTCATTTGAAGTTTGTGACAGATTTCAAAAATATTTCACAATACATTGGAAAACAGCAGTGGAATATCAAATCTTGAATAAGCTGGAAACACTGAAGAAAATGGAAGAGTGTACAAAAAGCAAAGTTTTGCTTGAGTTGTATTCTCGATTGTGGTCTTTATATAGAGATTCTTAGTTACTTTTTTTTTAATTTTTCAAAGGCTATATTCACTAGAAATAAAATTAGTAATTTTCCAATTTAGCTATTGAAAGGAGTTTAAGGGGTAAAACAGGATGGTTTAGGGAGTTTTAGAAATAAAGACGGTCCATAGGGGAGGAAGTCTTGGAGCCCATAAGTGGGGACTTGGAGCTGCCAAAAGGCATACATTCACAGAGCAAAAGGTGCCACAGGATAAGGGGAGAGGAAGACATCCATTCACAGAAGATTGGGACAAGCCACAGGGTATGGGGAGAAGGAGGAAACAAGCTTTCACAGGGAATAGAGAAATGCTGACAAATGGGAGAAAGAGAAAAAATTTTCACAGGAGACAGAGAATTCTACCACTGAAGGGGGAGAAAAACGGGGGGGCGGGGCACGTGGGGTTTGAGCTTTGAAGCTGCTATAGTGACCAATCAGAAGGATTACCAAGAGACAAAGAACTGCAGCCATTATACACCTTAGAAAGAAGGAGCTTAGTGGGTCACCCCCTAACCTTAACCCCCTCCCTGTGTGGGAGTCTGTACTTGTTTCCAATAAGTTTCCACCTTTTCATCTACCACCTTCTGTCCATGGCTTCATTCTTCAAATCCACCCAGACAAGAATCTAGGAAAGAAACCACCCAACTCACTAGTATATATATTTGTACATATATAAGCCTATATGTAAGTTTGCTCTTATATATGCAGATATACCTATATACTTATATATACATACCATATATACAAATATATTCATATATACATCTATACTTACATATACTTACATATACCAGCTATCTGCTCTCCCCTCCTGGCCTGATCCCCCTAACTGCCTAACTGCTCTCCCCTGCCAGCCTTATCCCCCTAATTGTCTATCTGCTCTCCCCTTATGGCCTGAACGCCCTAACTACCTATCTGCTCTCCCCTCCTGGCCTGATCCCCCTAACTGTCTATCTGCTCTCTCCTTATGGCCTGATCGCCCTAACTACCTATCTGCTCTCCCCTCCTGGCTTGATCCCCCTAACTGTCTACCTGCTCTTCCTCCTCTCTGCCCTTCGGACTCCTGGCACAGGTGTGCTGAGAGCTCTCCACCATGACCCCACCCCCGTTCTGATTGGTCATTACGTGATAGTGTCCTGGCCAATTTGCATATTCCTCTATTATTAGTATAGATACCACAAACCCAGACTTTTCTTTGACACTTATATGCATATAGGTACATATACATATAGGCACATATGTTACATATATATTTATGTGTATATCTACACTAATAAAAGAGAAACATGGTAATTAGCGTACGACCGCTACCCTTTTCATTGGCTAATCAGTGAGTATATGCAAATTAACTGTCAGCCAAGATGGCGGCCGGCAGCCAGGCACTGAAGCGAGCACAAGGCTTGCTTGCTGC